CAACATACTACATATTATATACTTGATACTACATACTACAAACTATATATTATATACTTTATATTATACACTATATACTATATACTTCATACTACATACTACATATTATAAAGTATAAATTACATATTATATAATAGATACTACATACTACAATTCAAAATACTATATACTGCATACTACAAACCATATACTATATATACCCTATATTATACACTATATACTATATACTGTATACTATATACTATACTAGATATTACATACTACATATATACTTCGAATTGTTCGACAGTTCGTGTTCGTAGTTTTTAACTTTTATTTTTATTTTAATGTTATACAAGTTATTTTATTTAATATATAATACACATTCATATTATATATATTATAATATATATATGTATATACTATATATACAAGACATTGTTGTAGTACCAAATATTCTAGGTTTTTCACATTTTTAAACCTCTATATCTCCCAAACGGAAAATCTTTTTACAATTTTTTTTTATCACAACAATGCTCTCAACTCCAATTTCATGAACCAATGGGCAAAACTAGAAAACGCATTTTTGTATAGAATTACATCTATATGTATTATACTTGTTAACATTTTTTCAACAAAATATCCTTGGTGGAGTGGTTACCTTGATAGTCTTATTACTCATTTTGGTGGGAGGTCAGGGGTTCAAGTCCTCTGTGTTTTTTATTTTCTCCTTATACACATACACATGTGATGATACCTATGTTTTATTTTGCTCATTGTACACGTGATGATATATGTATGTAATTTTATTTTTGTATATAATATATGTATGTTTACAAATATTTCTGCATATATATATATAACAATATTATCAATTAATTTTTAGATATTTATTTTTTTATAAATAGGTTTTTTCAAAAATAATTAAATTATAACAAGGTATTTCGAAAAATAAGTTTTAAAATTGATACGGTTCAAAAGGCGTCTGGCCGGCCGGTTCGGACGGCATAAAAGCCTTCCAGNAAAAAAAAAAAAAGAAAGAAAGAAAAAGAAAAAGTAAACGAAACAAGAAACCCACAAAATCTAAAGCAATAAAATGAAATGAAAATTACTTCTTTCTAGCTTTGCCCACTTGAAAACCCATCCAGATATTGAGAAAGGTATAGAAAACAAGAACAAGAACAACATATCCATATTCCTTGGGCAAGAATTCAACTCCAGCCATGTCTTTTTAGATTTTATGCTCTTATTTATTTGTGCTAATCTTGAGATTTAAGGAAAGCTAATATATGAGCTACTTGTAATGCGAGAGTGGGGGACAGTTTTATAGCAGGCCACTGGCCACTGGGTGATAGTTCGGGAACCTTCTCTATTTTTATGCTTAATTTGTCTATCTGGCTTATTAATTGGCCATTGAGATTTAAAATTGCCTAACCTGTTTCCCAAGCTAAGATTTTTATATTATAATTAGTGCACATCAATATGAAAACAAAACTTATACTAAGTTGTATGTACTGAATATAATATTTAAAATGATCTTAATTATTGAGATTTAAAATTGCCTTACCTGTTTCCCAAGCTAAGATTTTTATATTATAATTATTGCACATCAATATGAAAACAAAACTTATACTAAGTTGTATGTACTGAATATAATATTTAAAATGATCTTAATTAATGAGTATATCACATTTTATTAATGTAACATTAGCAAAAATAAATAATATATATATATATATATTATTTAACCTACGTAAGAATCAGTATTATATAAAGTTTATGTAATCTTGAGTGATTATAACTAATTAAATAAATGAAATAATATTAGAAATATTATTATAACAACTGCGTATGAAATTTTAAAGGGTCCGGTATGTCATAAAAAATATTTGTTTTATTAGAAAAATTCTTAATGAGCTGAAAATAAGAATAAATAATATCAAAAAGTTTTAAAATAGAACTTTTTATAGGTATACAGTTCGTTCACAGTTNAAGAGGATTATATTATATCTCAAAGGGAAATTAGTTCCAATACAAGCGGGGCCAACAACCAAAAAACATAAAATAGAGAGGACACGCTAAGAAGCGGCATAGAAGTCCCTCAATGAGATCGACGGAAACTAACCAAACTAACTAAAGAACTAGTCTAAACATACCACTGCCAAAGCCTAGTACATTTGACTGATTCACACAGCAACACAGGACAAAGAAAACCAAACAAAAAGAGAATAAAAAAGCTACAGAGGCTAAGTCTACTAACTGAACAAAGAAAGAAAAACTAAATTGAAGCTGATGCAAATTCTTCCCAGTCTCTGATTGCTGCCTTGAGTAATGCTGGAACCGGCATAAGAGTTTTTTGGAAGATCCACAGATTGCGTGACTTCCAAAGCCACCAAAGGAGATAAGTAGAAAGCTGAATCCGGGCCTCTGCCACTTCTGATTTTGCTGTGGAACATATCTGCCACCACCATGTTCTGAAATTGTTTTCTGCAGCACAAGTGCCATCCCAAGTCACAGGACTAAGATCCCATAACATTTTTGCTCTAGGGCAATGAAAGAACACATGGCTGATTGTCTCAGTATCTTCACCACAAGATTGACAAATGTGATCAATGTGAATACCTTTCTTCAGAAGATTTTCCTTGACAGGCAGTGTGTTAGAGTTGCACTTCCATATGAAATGCTTCAGCTTATTGTGAATTGTCATTTTCCATATCCTCATTCTGGCTTTGGAAATGGACTTCTGGCTGTAGCTACATTGGGGTATATCCATCATTTGCAGCTTTTGATTAATAAGAAAAGAATATGAGGAGGAGACTGAGAACATGCCCTTCCTATCAAGACCCCAGTATACCTTGTCCTCTTTGTTAGGGTTCAAAGATCTGATCTTCAAAATAGCATGGCTTTCAGTAGCATTAAAAACCTGGGACACCAGCCAAGCATTCCAGTTCAAACCGTTGGTACTGAAGAGGTCTTTGACCCAAATCAGGTGCCCCACAGCTATATCCAGCAATTTGGGTTTAGGAGAGTTTAGGGAGGGGATCCAATTAATATCAGAAATCAAGGTTGATTCCCCATTCCCTATCTGAATTCTAAAACCCTTAGCAAATGTGGGAATAACTTGTAACCAACAACTCCAAAGCCAAGAGCAGTTGTGTGATTCGACTGCATAAAAAATGGATGTTGAGGGATAGTGCCTGCTCTTTAAAACTTTGCTCACAAGCAATTGAGGCTGAGTTGTGATTCTCCAAAGATGTTTGCAAATGAGGGCCTCATTAAATAGCTTGACATCTTGAAAACCAAGGCCACCATCAGTTTTAGGTAAAGTGAGTTTACTCCATGAGCTCCAGTGGACACTCTTTTCCTGAGTTTCTTCCCTACTCCACCAAAAGATAACACAACGTCTGGTGATCTCCTTGATGATTGAGGAGGGTAGTTTGAAGCATGCCATTGTGAAAACAGGGATAACATTCAAAACTGCTCTGATGAGCACTTCTCTACCAGCAGGGGATAGGAGCTTGGACTGCCAGTTGTTCAATCTAGCTTTGACTGATGTTCGCCTATATTTTTAAAGCTCGACCGCAAGTGTACGGCTTCGCTCGTAGTATGTGTCAAGCAAGGTCGTATCCCAAGAGACCAAATAATTATTATACCAATTACTAGATTATGATAGTGTCGATTTTATTTAGACGACCGAATATGAAATGGATTAACTAAACTAAGAAAATATAATCAAGTAAATAAGGCAAAAATAAAGAATTAGCTAGGAAAACACGTAGGAAGATATATGGTAACG